ATTAGATGGATGTGTAGAGTTGGAAGGATTATATTTATATAAAGGGCTAGCAATACGGGAAAAGTTGGAAATGAATTTACGGTAGTATTCGGCTCCTTTTAAAAAACGAAAAATCTCTTTCGGTGTTGTTGGCGTTGGAGTTTCCAACAAACCGCGTATATTATCATTATTTGGACGAATTTCTCCACGACAAATGTGGTGACCCAGATAATTGATGCTATCAGTAGCGATGGTACATTTCTCGAAACTTAGACGAAAATTGTGTGTGTGAAGTAAATAAAAGATTTCATCCAAATGAGAAACATGATCGTCAAAAGTTCTCGAAAAAATGACGACATCATCTAGATACGCTAGACAATGTTTCCATCGAGCAGGACCTAAAATTTGGTTTACTATGCGTTGGAACGTAGGTGGACCATTTTTTACACCTTGAGGGAGGACTTTGAATTGATAATGATTATCGCGAGTGGAAAATGCCGTTTTAGGACGATCATGAATTGCTAATGGAATTTGAAAATAGCCGTTTTTAAAGTCTAGTGTGGTGAAATATGTTGATTGAGACAGTTGATCGAAAATATCTTCGATGCGAGGTAACGGGAATGAATCTTTGACAGTAATATCATTTAGTTTTCGATAATCAACGCAAAATCGTGTAGTACCATCTTTCTTACGCACTAATACGACAGGTGAGCACCAAGGTGATGTTGATGGTTCGATACTATCTTGTTTGAACAGTTTGTCTGTTTCTTCGGTAATAGTTTGATGATCTTGAGGTGAACGTCGATAAGGTGGAGTGTAGATTGGTCGATGTTGACCGGTATCGATCACATGATCGAGAGTGATATTGATTTTTGATGGTTGACGTAGGTCGAACAGTTTACCGTATTTCCAAAGGACATCTTGGATTTTTTTGCGATGCGAGGCGGAGTCGATGTGTTGTGTTAATGTTTCAATTTGATGTCGTAATTCTTGTGGATAGCATTGTACACGAAGATGATGAAAAAGATTGTTTTGGGATAAAAATTTCTGATGACAAACGTAGCATTTATGTGATGAATTCAGAGAATAATGACGTATTTTTGCTGATCGAAATTGTGTTGACTGAGATTGATATGGTGATGTTGTTGCACATATTAGTAATGATGAAGAAACAGTACCGAGACACGTATTTGAAGGTAAAATATATGGATGATTGGTGGTATTGATAATAGTTAAGTGTGTTTGAGAATTAGTCACTTTAATTAAAGCTGTTGGAAGTACTACTGCTTTTTGACTAAAACTTGAAGACGGTTCAAACAACAAATTTGAACTATCTGGAAGATGTACTGCGGCTTTGATAACAGATTCGGAGTATTGTGGAATAGTAATTTGATCGAGTAATCGGACTGTACAACATGATGTATTGTTTGATTGAATGAGTGAAGTGGTGGTAGTTTGACCTGTAGTATCTTGCAAAGTTAAACGTTGTGTAGAGATATCCATATATAGAACATATTGATTGATCCAGTCAGTGCCTACTAAGACATCAGTAACGAGACTCGAAGCAACAGAAGCCGTTACAAAAGTGGAGAGACCGTTAATTTTTATTTCAAGTTGAACTTTACCGATTATGTTGATCGTGGTACAATTAGCCGAGATATAAGAATTTTGTGAAGGTTCAAACGTATTGTGATTTATGCGTTGTAAAAATTGATTATGGATAATAGTGATACTGGAACCAGTGTCCAGGAGAATATTATGATAGGTGTGATTGATTTGAGCACGAATAAAAAAAGGGTTTGAGAATGTTGATGATGATGGCATAGTATTACTGAGATCTCCGCCATCTTGAGTCCCAGTTATTGAAAAACCTGGGGACAATCACGAACATTATGGTTATGGTTACCACATTTGTAACAGCCACGTGGCTGTCTATGATAGCAGTCGATAGTACGATGATTTGATCGTTGACAGATCAAACATGGATAGAAGTGATTCGTTTGTGTAGGACGAGGACGATAGGCACGTGATTTGTTAAGAATGTGCATGTAATCTGTGGTACGAGTATTTTGAGGGATTTGTGAATGAAGAGAATTTTCAGAGCTGCTTTGTTGTTTTTGAGTGACAGCAGTAACAGGTGCAAAATATGGGGATGTTGGAAAGATTGATTGTTGGGTTTCAGAAGGAATTTCGTTCAGTAACTCTTCTTCATCATGAGCGATCTTCCAAAAAATACCTGGTGTTGGTTCATCATCGAGCGTTTTGAGGCGACGTTTGACGTGTATTTTTAAATCATTGCGCATACCATCTTGTAAATAATCAACGATCATATGTAGCGGCATATTTTGATCAACTTGTTTACATAAATCAATAATATCATCATAGTAGGCGTTAAGTAGTTCACCTGGTTGTTGTTTTCTTTCCTTCAGTCGCGTTTTGATAGCAGAAAGAGATGGTTTAAAGCGTTCAAGAAGATGTTGTTTTAGATCTCGCCATGTTTGTAGATGGTCTTTATTGTTATCATACCAATTAAAGGCAGATCCTCCTAATTTAATAGTAGCGATAGAATGTAGCATCGATTCATTCAATCCAGCGAAGCTACCGATGTGTTCAACAGCATTAATAAACTGAGTAACTTTCTGATTAGGATCGCCAGTAAATTTGGGTAGTTCCTTTAAAGCAGTTGTATTAAGAAGATTTTGAAAAGGATTTAGTTCCATATTGGTAGTTGAAATAGTATGTGAAGAAGTAGTTGTATCCGTAGGAACAGCGTGACGTCGGATGCGCCCGTATGTGATTATATCGTGTGGTAGTAAGTTACCGGGTTGGGTGTTGCTTCGCAAATGTCTGCGTTGTTGAGACGTCGTTTTTCGGGTTTTTTGTTTTTTTTTTTAGGTAAATAGTAATGGAAAAAATGAATTGTACCGAAGAGTTAACGAATGTGACAGAATTCCAATACACAGGTGTTTGCAACGTTATGTGAAAATGATCGAGAGAAGACGGGTCACGGCACCAAATATTAGAGGTCTCCCTGTATCTTCTCGATGTTCGTTTATTTCCAGATTGTCTCCCCTTCACCAAGTATAGGGAGAGATATAGGGAGAGATATATAGAGAGAAATAAAGCATCAGAGAATGCGAAATGAATAAACAAATACCGATGAGTCAAGGAGTGATACATGTGACTGTAACAAAGTCTATTTCAATACGGTTTAATTTTTTCAATTTCAATTTCGAAAAAAAATTCAAGTTAAAAACCGAAATTAAAATTGATTAGAATTGGAATTGGAATAAGTGCATCTCCGTACTTCTTCTACTCATGTATGAGCTCGAAAAATGTTTAAAATTTCTTACTGAACTCAATTTTGTGGTGTATTAATCCATGAGAATTCATCAATATTGATGCGCATTAATGCACGCCTTGCAGTCGAGCTCGATCGGAGAAAAATAAGGTGCAGAAGATCTGGTTTATTCACAAGAAAACAGAAGAAGCAATAGACTAGAGATGAAAGATATATCTCTAGATGTATAATTAGTATCGAGCAGGACCAACATTTCAACGATCATTGACAAAGGTCTTCAATAGAAAAAAAAACATGGAAAATTCTAACCTATACACGAGCATTGATCAAGAAATTGACGATCAAGGAAGAAATCCTATATTGTCACGGAGTCACTACATCACAGTTTTTGTCATCAACCATAATTTTGTGAAAAAAGAGGGAAAAGAGGCGAAGTGGCATGCTAATCTTCAATTCCAAGCCAATAATTGCTGTTTCAATATTATTAGTCTATCCGTTTGAAATTACAATTTTTCAATATCAGATTTAATACCGTTTTCTATATGGATGTGTCTTGATGATTTTTATTTTCAACAAACAACAAGATAATGGAAAACGACACAAACATACAGAGAAGAAAAAGAGCATCATACATTTCTAACACGAACACATGAGGAAAAAAGAGAAGCGAATTGTGAGATCATCTTTGAATATATCCTTTTTTCCAATATGAATTGATCTAAGGTTTCTAACTTCAAGCTCATATGTATGTATGTTTCTAAGACTATTTTATTGTTGTTCTTGGTTGTATAGCAACAAAGTAAAAAGTACACGAGAAAAAAAGAACTGCGTTTGACGAATAGAGAAATAAATTCGGGAGGCCAGAATTTCGGCCCACGAAATTTTCGGCCCGGACTTTCGGCCCATGACCTTATTGACCCTAAAATAAAAAACCTTATTTTTTCAAATTAGTTGCTAGACATCGTAGTGCTGAGCAGGACGTCACAGTGCTCAGCGATATGACGTAATGCTGAGCAGAACACCATAGTGCTCAGCGATATGACGTAGCGCTGAGCAGAACGTCATAGTGCTGAGCGGTATGGCGTAGTGCTGAGCAGAACGTCATAGCGCTGAATGGTATGGTGCAGTGCTGAGCAGGACGTCATAATCTTCAGCATTATGGCGTAGGTGTGAGTGAAGTGTGGAGTAGTGTGGATGTTGAAGGAAGAGACATCCACACCCCATACCCTCTACTCAGCACTACGTCATATTACTGAGCACTATACCATACCGCTCAGCCCTATGACGGCTTGCTCAGCACCACGCCATACCGCTCAGCACTATGACGTCCTGCTCAGCACTATGACGTCTTGCTCAGCACTACAACATATCGCTGAGCACTACGACATCCTGCTGAGCACTACGTCATACTGCTCAGCGCTACGTCATACCGCTGAGCACTATGGCGTTCTGCTCAGCAGTACGTTGTCTAGCAACTAATTTTGAAAAATTTGGTTCTTTATTTTAGGGTCAATGAGGTCATGGGCCGAAAGTCCGGGCCGAATATTCTGTGGGCCGAAATTCATGGAACCCATAAATTCATGTTCTCCAGTACACTCACACACAGGTTTTGTAACAAAAAAAAACAAAGAAAATGAACGAAAAGTAAGAATGATAAAATCCAGACAAGACAAAAAAAAAACATTTCCTATGTTTCATTTGAATCAATAAGATCAGATAATTAACGATTTTTGACTAGAAAAAAGAAAAATCATTTAGAATATCAAAACTACAAGAAATCTTCATTACTGTATGTAGAAGCATCGATTTCATCGGGCATTTTAGTAATTTGTATTTCAAAACGTTTTTGAACTTCATTAAGAATTGCTTCATCATCTATATCTGCAACAAATATTATTACTAAACCTTTTGCATCAAGTCCACCAGCACAAGCAATCTAAAATTAAATATGTTAATAAAAAAAATCTATTGTTTTTGAACATACTCGATGAAGATAGGTATCAGTATCTTCAGGCATATCATAATTAAATACAATGTCAATACCTTCAATATCCATACCGACTCTAAATAAATCTGTTGCAACAAGAATAGGCTTTTGAAGTTCTTTAATTTCTTTATAACGTGCCAAACTTAATAAATATTTGCTATAACGTTTGAAACTAAATAAATAGAATTATTTGATTTTTTATTTATGTCGATTAGAATTAAACAAACCGTTCTTCGCGTGGCATTTCACTATGTATTTCAGTAACAGGAAAATGTTGTTCAGTTAATAATTTACATAAAGCAGAACAATGTTGTACCGATTTAACAAAAATAACAACTTGATTATATTCTAACCTCTGCCAAATAATTCAATTAATTTACGAGTTTTTTCATTGGCACGTAATTTAATATAATGTTAACGAAGACTCTTTATTTAAAACAATCATATTTATTACAATGTTTATTTCTAAAACTTACATTTCGTTGTAATTTTGTTTCATTATTTAATGTTGCATCACGTCCTAAATGTTGTTCTATTCGTTCGACAACTGGTACAAGTCGATTCATCAAATTGAACAACTTTTGGTTCATTTCATCTTGTTTTTGAATAGAAACAACCATTAAATTTATTAATCTTTCCAGATTATTTGGATTAATTGTTGTTTCATGTTGTTGTGCTTGTTGACTTTGATTAGATGTTTGTGCTGGTGCATTTGGATCAGATGGTTGTTGTTGTTGTTGTTGTTGTTGTTGTGGTGGTGGTGGTGGTGGTACAAGAGGTGGATCAATGGACTAAAAGAATGATTATTTTAGTGAAAAAACTGAACGAAATCCATACGACTTGGAAATATCACGAACTTATTAGGATCGAAAAAATAATCAATCTCAATAAATCACGATCCGGTACGCTAGTCAGTTCACCATGATAGAGTTTTTTGAAAATAGCCTCATTGGAAAGAACACATCGAACTGCATCGATTGCCGTTTTCAGAACTTTGTGACATTGAATTTTAATATAGAAAATTTCTTCAACAATATATAGTTGTTTTTATCAGAAATCATTATTTCGTGAGAAACAGATGCACACACTATTTTCAGTATATTATTGGTAAAAAATTCTTGTTTCCGAAAAAATTATGTGTATTCTGATAGCTCATGAAATTCTGTACAACTCCACATATAAACATGTTGAATTGTACTTATTGTCAAAAAAATATTTTAAACAGAATAAAGATATCCTGATCGTCAATGTTCTCAAACCTACATTTTTTACTAATATGCAATGTCTGCTAAGCTAGATTCATGATGAGACGATGCCATATTCAATACTAAGACGCCAATCAGACTAGAAAAAATCATACGAATTAAAACTGAATTAAGGAATAAATCGTCTAGAAAAGATGATTTAAGCCGGAATAGACCAGTTACGTTGCTTAATTTAACTTTCAGTTAATTCATTTTTTTAGTCTGATTGAGGCCTAAATAATTGATAGACTAAAAAAACAAAGACAGGACTGATTTCTCTATTCATGCAGTCAGTCATTTCTTTCTGTCTCTGATGAATTTTATAACGAACCAATCAGATATGAAATTTTACTCCAGACATAGATGACATCATATGTTGACGTTCATATTCAGAATCACGAAGTGATCAAATAGGAGGAATCAAAATCAATAAAATTCGCTCGGTAGGACAGGAGGATGTTTAGTAATTGAGGCTTTACTGTACTAATTTCTACTACATTATCTACCGACAAATAAACTTTTCAACGAACACATAGGACTCGTAGATATAGTTATAGTTCTTACATCTTCTATTAAATAAGATATTTCACAATGTTCGAGGGTTTTATTTTAAGATACTCACATAAATCGATCGAATGTCTGAGATCTGTTCATCTTTACACATAATTGATTTTTCTCTAGATTGAGACAGTTGAAGAAAATAATATGACTGTGTTCATATGTTTGTTTCTTATATAGAGATAGTATGTCCATTGCTATGGTAACCATATGGCAGTTGATAAAAAATTAAAACAGCTTACGACAGAAAGAGTTAGAAGGAGAGAAAGAAAGAAAAAAACGAAAAGAAGAGCATAGCATCTAGCGAAGAAAAATAATTGATCCTATTCATAAGTAATATTTTTTATAATTGGGTGTGGGTGTGTGGTGTGAGTGTGTGTGGGTGTGTGGGTGTGGGTGTGTGGTGTGGGTGTGGGTGCGTGGGTATCGGTGTGAGTGTGGGCGCGGGTAAGTATAATTAGAATACCCACGCACACCCACACCCACAGTAGGTAACAGAGGTATAGGAGGTGTATGGAGGTTAGGAGGTGTAAGGAGGTATAGGAGGTATGAGAGGTATAGGAGGTATAAGGAGGTATGGAAGTACAAGGAGGTATAGGGCGGTATAGGAGACATAGGAGGTGTAGGAATTGATTTTTTCGAGCAAGGTTTGAGAAGTGGCAGCAATATATTTTATGAATAGATGCTTAAATTCAAACACTATTGAATGATCAGCTGTACCAATTAATCAATATCTCCAATACCTTCTATACCTCCTTACACCTGCTATAACTGCTATACCTTCTCTATATCCATTGACAGAAAATGAAACAAGCTTCCGGAAATTCAAATGAATTTCCTGGAAATTCTAATAAGGCATCATACGCTGATTTAACTTTACAAGGTATTGAAGCTATTTCAAAAGTTTATATGGTTAATCCAAAACTTGATAAATCAAAAACAAGAATTCAAATTAATGATAATTGTGAAATTGAAACAATTGCTGATTGGATGTTAGAAACTGGTGAAACTTCATTTAAAAAAGTTTTAGCTACTAAAGATATTGATTTGAGAAGAACTTATACAAATGATGTGGTAGAAATATTTGATGTATTTAGTATTGACGCTGTACGACAAGCTATTGAATATGAAATGAATCATGTTATTTCATTTGATGGTTCTTATGTTAATTATCGTTATTTAGCTCTTGTTTGTGATATTATGAGAACTAAAAGACATTTAATGGCTATAACAAGACATGGAATTAATAGACAAGATGTTGGACCTATAATGATATGTTCTTTTGAAGAAACTGTTGATGTTTTAATGGAAGCAGATGTACATGCAGAATTTGATCCATGAAAAGGAGTTTCGGAAAATATTTTATTAGGACAATTACTTAGGGTATACCAAAAGTTCTGATCACAGTTTTTAAAATTTAATAAAGCAATAAATATTGAATATTTTACTAAGGCAATATATAGT